TCTTGTGATTTCTTAAATTTTTCATAATCTTTGCTTGAGTGGTCCAGTTCATCCACTTTATCTTCCAATCTTGATACTCTGTTTTCCATTTCGTTCATCCTATTGGTGAGGCTTTCTCCTATTGTTTCTAATTGGCTTACTGAGTGTTTCACTTCCTTCTTCATTTCAGCCTGAGTAGTCATTAATATTTCTAGCTCTTTTCTGAATTAATTCAGAAGTTTATCCCTATGTTCCTTTAGTTCTTCGATTACCTTGTTTGTGTGTTCTTTAAATTCACTGAATTCTTTTATCATATTCATCATTGTTCTTTTGAGTTCCATGTCCTGCATTGTCTCTAGGGGGTTCTCATTGTGCTCCTCTAGAGGATTACTGGTATTTGGTGGGGATATGTTATTTTGGTTTTTCATGTTATTAGTGGATTTCTTTTGTAGTTTCTGATTCTTGTGTGAGACCCAAGCCTTCCTTTGCTGAGTTTAGGTCTGCTTCTTTTTGTAAACTTTGTGTATTGTTGTGGTTACTTGTTGGGCATGAAAAGCTGGTTGGTCTAGGCTTCAGGTTCTCTCTTTTGATTTTATATTAGAGTGGCCAAATTGCTTTCATCTTGCTGCTCAGCAGTTCCCACAGAGACCCAAGTCAGATGAGGATCAGATGCTCTCAGGCTTTCTCCTAAGGTCTAGATCCCTCCAGGAAAGACGTTGTCCTCAGGAATTTGGGGGTTGGACTGGCCTGGGAGCAGGGCCCAGGAAAGATGCTGGTCTTGGGCAGCTGGTGGCCATGCCACCCAGAGATGCAAAGGGAGATTGGGGGTGGGAAGAGGCCCCAAGGACTCCTGGAGACCAGGAGAGAGGCTGGGGGACTATGCATGCCCAGGGAAGCAGGCAGATGTGAGGGCGGGACCAGGCCCAGAGGGCTCAGGCTCCTGGGGACCATGAGAAGGAGCTGGGTTCCTCTGGATGCAAGGGATCAGGAAGCAGTGGTGGTTCCCAGCGGAGAGGTCAGCCCCTGCTTCCAGGAAAGAGGCTGGTGGGCAGCGCAGCCCAGGGAAGCAGCAATTTAAAACTTTTTTAAAAGAGATCAAGTTTTACACACAGCTTAATCATAGATCTCATGTTGGGAGGATCTGTAGAGCTCATCCAATCCAAGTGCCCATATAATACTGAGTCTCTTTAGCAGTGTTCCCCAGGAAACATCCCTGATGGTGCTCAGCATCCTGAGACTGTGTGGTCCCAGCTTTCCCATGATAGCCTTTTGGAAGTGCTAAGAACTGGAAAGTTGGAACAATTCTGAAACTTGTAACATTTGGAACAATGTTTTGAAGACTGGATATTTATATTAATAATGACTTAAAATTTATTTCCCTGTCCACAAATCAGAACTTCTAATTGCTCTCCCAACAGTTCCTCCCCTCCTCCTGCACCTCCTCCTCTTCCTCCCTCCATTTCTCCTTCCTTTTATTGTGAGACAGAGTTTTGCTATACAGCCAGACCATTCTTGAATTCACTATGTATCAAAGCCACTACGTAGCCCAGGCTTGCCTTGAACTTATAATACTCCTGCCTTCACCTCCTGAGTAATGGGATAATAGATGTGCACCACCACACTTGACCTTTTTTTCCTACATACCATAGTTTTGTTACTGTGTTTCTCAAAATGTGTCCTTCTAAACAATTGGAAAGAAGTAGCCAGGATGAGAAGAGTGGGAAAGGACCTCATGTTATATCTCTCTCTTGGAAATTCACAGTGCGTTTACTACATTTAAACCCAGAAATCTGGAATAACCCTAATTCTCCTACCATTTTTTTAAATGTATTGCATTCTAAAAACTCATTTGCCTTTTTAAGAGCTAATGATTTGCAGAATGAGTAGTACATAGAATATGCCTTCGGAAGCATTGACGTGTGCACACTGCCAGAGGTTATATTCCATTTGCTAGCATCAAAATTACCCCACAACTAACACTACACTTTCTATTGAGCAAAACCTTGTTTTCTATATGTGCTGCTTATCTGTCCTCTCTTGATCTTAGAAATAACAAAAGTGTGTCTATTATTATACTATATTGCCCCTATACTCAAGGAATTAGTCTGTTTTCTGTTGTTTTAACAAAATACCTTAGGCTAGGTAACTTGTAAATAAAGGGTTTTTTAACAAATTTTTATTTATTTTTACTTTTTTTATTTGTATGAGGTATGCCTGCATGTATGAAACAGTGCATCCATGTCATGCAATGCCCAAGGAGGTCAGAAAGAGGGTGTCCAATCCCCTGGAACTACAGTTATGGATGGTTGTTAGCTGCCACGTGGGTACTGGGATTCAAACCCCGGTCTTCTGCAAGAACAGCCAGTGCTCTTAACCGCTGAGCCATCTCTCCATCCTCATAAAGGGGGTTTATTTAGAGCACAACTTTGAGGGCTGAAACATGGGGTGGCCCCATCAGCTCAGAGCACATGTAGAAGGGACAGGAAATAAAATTTAGACATTAAGCTCACTCTTTAATAACTTACCCGGTCTTGCAAGCATTGACAACACATTGCCTAAGACTAGGATCAGTGGCTTGAGAGAGCAGTGTCCCCAGCAGCCTGATCACCTTTTGTTTGGAACTACTTTCTAAAGATTCAACTGCTTACCACATGGTCAACTGCAGACCAAGCTACCAACATGTGAACCTTTGGAGAACAAACCACATCCACACAGCAGCACTCACTTTGGTTTAACTCCATGTTTTCTTCTGATAAGACCCTGAATGTACCTCTGAAAATATTCATATCCATCCCAGATCAAATTGTGAACTTCCAGGTGGTGACAGAGAATTTTAAGTAGCTTTTTTCAGTCTTCTTTTTCCTGAGTAAGCACCCTCAGCAATTCTACTTCTCTAATCATTTTCATGGGGCCTGATGTTCTGAACTCTCACATCTCAGATAATCCCCTGTGAGCTCTGCAGAGTTAGCCAGTTTGTGCATTTATAGTTAGCTTCGAAAGCGAGCCTGATCTTCATGAGTTGGTCTGAGTTACAACTTTAAAGTTAACGATACTCAGTTTTTGAAGTAGAGTTTGCTTAGTGGGTTTGAATAGGAAGCATACATCTTTTGATCAGAGACCCGAATATAATTGATACAGCCATTATCTTTCCCATGGAAGCCAAATCACCTTGTCTATGTTGTATCCTAACATTGGTATCAGGGGAAAGCTGCCAGAGTACTAACAAAGCCATTCGGTCCTGGCTTTTCCATTAGAAGTCTAAAGTTACCTGATTCATGCCCCTGTGTGACAAGGTGTCACAATTGAGGAAGCTGTGCTTCACTGGGTCGGGTGTCTTCCTCTCTCCCTCTACACAGCATGGCTCTGATCATTAAATTGCAGGCGTTTTTGTTCATCAAAGAATCTTTGTAGACCAGGATTTTCAAAACTGTATTTTCATTTCTCTTCTGTTAGATCCTCAGTGTAAATTGATACTTATCAGAACCAACCCAGTATGTTAGCCTATTCTTAACGTGGGCAAACATATGCCCACATTCCTTGACTGTGCTTTATGCCAAACTAGCAAAACGCAGCTGTTTTGCTTTGCATTTATGTCTGGGCATTTGTTGTCACTGTCAACCAAGCTTGAAGAATTTAGGGTTTTCCATGGTCCTAAAACTACCTTCACAAGACCGTGTAACTCTCAGGTAGTTCACTTCACCCTCTATTCTTTTTAAATTTATTTTTGTTTCATACCTACATGTATCTAAGTGAACCACATGCATGATTGCCCACAAAGACCCAAAGAGGGGGTCAGATCCCTTGGAACTGGAGTTACAAACAGTTGTGAGGCACCATGTGGGTGCTGGGAATCAGTCAATCCCCTGCAAGAGCAGCCGGCACGCTGAACCTCTGAGCCATCTCTCCAGCCCCTAGCCCTCTAGTCTTAGACCTAAACAGCAGTCTGGTTTCTCTGTGAGTGGTTTGTCATATTCATTTTTCCTCCATCATGTTTGGTGACTCTTGTCCCAGGAGTTTACAAGGCTAACACTGCAGTGACTTAGCCCTGGGCAATGCCCCTGCTGGTGGCCTGTTTCCCACATAGATTTTCTTGTCTGAGTTTCAGGAGAATGACAGGTAAAGATGACAGCTCATGCTGCTGGAGCTTCCTACCTGTGTTTAGCCTTCCTGGGACGTATCTCTTCTATAATATTTCTTCCTACGTGAAGTCTTAAGTGTTTGGATTTTGACAAGAAAATAATTCCTTATTGTCTCTTCTAACATGAAATTTAACAAGACTGCCTCCTAAATACTTCAAGGATAAATTGTTAATGGAGAGAAAAAGAGCCGTATCTTTTTAATTAATCAAATTGTACTAGTCATTTCTACATCATAGTAACATTTATCCTGTGAGTAGGATTTGACACACAGTAAGATGAACTCCTTATAAAAGTTTTTAAATAATGGATTCTACTGTAAATGCTTTAGTATTATCAATGGTCCTATAAATAAACCAGTCACCTAAGGATGGGTAGCTATTAGCATATTCTTTAGAAAAACAACCCTCTCCCTGGGTGGATCCAATAAATTTGGAGCTGTGCAACCTCTCAGGAGACAGGAAACATGCTTTATGGCCATGTTGTACGTTGGGGAGTGAAAGCCATTGGAAAGGACGTAGAAGTGAGGCCACTGGGCAGTGATCCCCTACATCCAACACTGTTGAAAGAGGCTCTGCTTAGGGAAATCCACCCACGTCCTCACCCACGCTTCTGAACACAGACGCACTCTTAGTATGCTTTCAAAATGGCTGCCACCAACCCTCCATCTCACACACTTAACCCACAGTGAGAATCAACATCCGGGATTCAGTAAATGTGTGTTAAACATCCGCTTCATAAGGACTTCTCAAGAGGGAGGAAGTGTGGGAAGAGGCACTGATGCCGAGTTTTCAGGGAGAGTGTGGAGAGGTTGGTGTCTGTACCAGGTACAGAATTAGAGCGAGGAGGATTAAAGGTCTCTTCCCTATGCTTTTTTTCCACCAGGATATTGAAGAGACAATGCAGCAGACCGGGAGTCTGAACATGTATTGCCACTTTGCAAATGGCATTGGTGAGCCCAAGTACATGCCTGTACAGTCATGGGAACTTTTGACGCAGACTCTGGTGGAAGCCCTGGAGAACCACAATGAAGTGAACACTGTGATGGACCTGGTGCTCTTTGAGGATGCCATGCGCCACGTGTAAGTAGCCGCTTTCCTTGCCTTTTCTCAGAGGCTTCCGGTTCCCACCGCCAGGAGTCTCATTTAGCTATCCAGGATATAAAGTGAGCGAAGAAGCCCCTGTTGTACCTCAAGGCCGGTCAAGATGTCTGCCAGCATCGCCACAGCTGCAGCTTCTGCCACTGGCCGTAGGGGACAGTGGCCTACAGGGCTCGGGCAGAACTGGATTAATTCCAGGTTCACTTTATTACCCCTGTACATAATCACAGTAACACAAAGGGGAGATTTGAGATAATAGAAGAGGCATCAAGACCCCCATCTGCACACACACACTGGTCCAAAGTACACTTCGAAATGAAATGTATGGGGTCTTTTTCAAAGACTTAAATTTTTTGGAGTGTTGTTGCTAACTAGTGAACCACCCACAGTGATCACCAGCACTCCCAAGTAACTGATACACAGTGTGATTCCTATACTGTCCCCAGTCTGAATTCTATTGATCATTCTTGCTGCCCACCCCCCAATTCTTCCATCCCCTCCAATTCTTCCATCTTGCCCAAGGTTCTTTAGGTCTTTGGCAGCAAAACTGTTTCATCTTAAACTTCTCTGAACATTCCCTTCCCTGCTAAATTTGAACTAAAGCCCCTGAGATGGGGGAAGCTGTTTTACCTTCCCCCATAGTCCCATAAACCCCATAAACCCCACCCCCACTACCATGGTCCACTTAAGCCATTTTTCCTTTTAAGTGTCGCAAGCCTTGTTCTCCTGAAGCACAGATAATCCACCTCCCGTGCTCCTGCTCTCCCTGTGACTCGTCTGCTGATGTGTAGTCACTCCCCATAATTTAGCACCTGCGCAGTTTCCTCTACTTATCTGTGACTACCCATACCTCACATCCAGTGACTGGACTTTCTGTTCCAGGCCTCCTTGGCTTCCATGACCTTGCCTACATACCCCAGAGCTCCACTCATATTCTTAACCCAGAATGTCTACCATCAATGAGTCTGAATTTCAAACATCTCACCCTGTGATTCACACTCCTCTCCATCCCTTTCCCAATAAAGTTTCTCTGATGTCCTAAGCTCCAACTGATCTTCAACTCCATCATTGGCTAGATGCCGTCTCTGCACATCTTCCTCATTAACCACATGGACATCCCAGTCCAGACCACCCTAACTCTCTTGTCAGTGTACCTATGGACCCAAACCCCATTCTAGTTAAACCATAAACCACACTGTCTCCTGATCCCATCCTTCCCCTAATAAGCTTGTCATTGGTGAAGAAAACTCCCCCATCACATTGAATAATGTTCCTTCAGATCTGTGAGCATAAGCATCAGGTAGGTCCTTAATATAGGCTGGAATCCTCCCACTCTGCTCTGGGCACATTACTCCCGTCAGCTTCGATAACTGAAGATATATAATGCTCCTCTTCTCAAATTCTAACAGTCTTGCCCTGGCTTCAGTCCCAGCTAGAAAGCACATTTATTTCACTGAGACAATAAAAGTGATCAGAAGAGAATGCTCACACCTGCCTTCAGATACACTTGCAGCCTATGTGAACCCCATCTGCATCCTGCATCGCATCCCATGCACAGAGCTCCAGGAGGCCTCCTTCTTCAGCTCATGAACCACTTTGCTCCTTCCTGAGTCCAGTCTTTCCACCTGTACATGGGTTCCTGTCGCTTTTCACCATGTCAGCAACTTTATTGCTTTCTATAATTATTCCCCCTCCCTCCTTTCACTTTATCCCATCACAGATTTCTAGGTCCTGTGCATCAGTGTGTAAATATACAATGTTATCATTTATCAAAAAAGTAATAACTGGGGCTAGAGAGAGGGTTCAGTGGATTAAGAGCACTGGCTGTTCTTGCAGAAGACCCGGGTTTGGTTCCCACCACCCACATGGTGACTAACAACCATCCATAACTCCAGTTCCTGGGATCTGACACCCTCTTCTGATCTCTGTGGGCACTGCATGACACAGATGCTCTTACAGAAATACAGGCAATACACTCATACACATAAAATAAAAAATACTTTTAAAATAAAAACATTTTAAAAGTAATAACCTATTCCTTGGCCCTATCTCCCTTTCCATTTTCTACCACAAGTTCTTTGCTCCTACTTACAACAAAACCCGTGACAAAGACAGTCCATACCTACCACATTCTCTCATCTTTAATTTTTTCAATGACCACTTCTTGCCCTGTGAGCAAAGCAGCTCTCACTGGGGTCACCCCAGATTGACCTCTCATGAAGGTCAAAGGTCTTTACTGCATGTTCTTCAACCTGCTGCTGCATTTGTCATGATTTACCACTGCACTTATTTTGTTTGCTGTCCACCTACCCATCCACCTATCCCTCCATTTATCCAACAGATGTTGATATACTAGACAATGGTGGTCTGAGTGCAAGGACCTTTATTAGCTGAAGATCCATCTAGACAGTTTCTGGAACCTATAAGGCATTCAATAAAACTTCTTAATCTGTCATAATGGAATAAATAAGACTGGGAAAACAGATGGGGAAAGTTCAGAGATTGATTCCAATTGTAACCACTGGGAGGGCCTCACTGAGAAAGTGGCATTTAACATGACAGGTTGGAGCTACGTGTGACCTAGAACTCGCTGGAGACCTGGGCTATTAGGGCTTTGAGTATGTCACTCATTTAGTCCTCATCAAAAAACCTTAAAGAAGTAAGGATTGTTATTATCCCCATACTGTAAATGAGGAAGACAGAAGTGGCCTAAGGTCACACACTATATACATTGGTAATCCAAGAACTATGCTCGTGTAGTTTGGCTCTCTAGTGCCCTTGACCATCACACATAATGCTTCTTAAAGACTTTCTGTCCCCCACTAACCCAGTGTAAACCATTTGAGTACACAGACTGCCTCATATAATGCTGAGCCCCAGGAACCTAGGCCTGTGCCTAGTACACAGCAGGTATTTGCTAAATAAGAGATTTAAAATGATTATTGAGGAGGCTGGAGGGATTGTTCAGTGGTTAAGAGCACTGGCTGGAGGATCCAGGTTTGTTTCCCAGCACCCGTATAGCAGCTAACAACCATCTGTAACTCCGATCCAGGGAGTTTGACACTCTGTTCTGGCCTCTACAGGTATTGCACATGTGATACACTTACATAAATACAGGATAACACCCATACAATAAAATATAACAAAATTTGAAATGTTTGTTGAGCTGGGTGTGTTGTAAAACACACCTACAATCCCAACATTCATGAAGCAGAAGCAAGCAGATCAGGAGTTCAAAACCAGCCTTTGCTACATATTGAATTTGAGACCAGCCTGGGCTACATGAGGTCTTGTATCCAGAAAAAAATTGTTGAAGTCAGACAGGTAGTATATGCCTGTTATCCCAGCACTTAAGAGGCAAAGACAGCAGGATTCCTGTGTGTTTGAGGCTGATTTAGGTTACACAATGACTTCAAGTTCAGCCTGGAATACATACCAAAATCCTGTCTCAAACGACGGCAACAACAAAAGTCTGTTGATTAACCTTGTGACTCTTGAGTATTTTCCTTACTCTGGAAGGGGGACCAATGCCTCTGAATTAGTGTTGGATTTGAGGCAAGTCCTTGTCCTGTCAGGGTGAATTTAATTTGGGAGAATAGCTAGTGATTCAGTCAATATGGTCTTCAACATGGGTGATGAAACTGACTAATATTGTTTTTAGGAAAAAATAAGGGCTGGCTCTGAGAAATAGCTTTTCTCCTGGGACTCATAACAGACTCTACAGATAGCTTCCAAAGAAGCTTGAGCCACATTTAGCCATGGCAGAGCAACTGGAAAAATGAATTTCCTGAGCAGGACAATTCTAAAGAATAACATGTATTAGGCTGTACAACTTCCCGGGCATTGGTTTAAAAATATCTTTGTCCCTCTACTTTATCCTTGCCCTGCCCTTCCATCTTCTCTGGGGCTCAGTGCTGCCTCTTTGCTGCCTCCTGCCGTCTGGATAGAGCTGAGCACATCCTTAGGCCACAGAGAGCAAACCAAAGAGAGAGTGGAGATTCCACATCCAGTCAGTGCACCCGGTACCCTGAACAAGGAGTTTGAGACTCACTCCAGCAAGACCCACGTCCTAAGACTCAACATGAAAGTAGAATGGGGTGAAGGACAGAGTCCAAAAGTGCCTTCCCAAGAATCCACGGGTCTGATGTAGAGGGGACAAGACAAGAGCTTGCTTTAGAACACAGCAGGCATCTCCTCCATGTTCCTCCATCTGGCTCTTCCACTCTCAACACGAGTACTTGGCATTTCACTTCCTGAGAGTTCCCTGAACCTCCTCCCTGCTTTGCTTCTTTCCATTTCTCCTGCTTTGATGCTGAGCCCAACAGTGGAGCTCCAGTAGGACTGTGATCAAAGTCCAAATCCTTGGTCTTCCGCAATTTGATGGGGGCACTTTGGGAAAGGCCTGCATCTCCTCAACCCAAAAGAGGATGTAGGAAGGCTGGTGTCAGGGGATGGCGTGGTCTGTGTGAAGAGCTTTGCAGCAAGCACTCAGGAAGCGTGGTGGTCCTGTTCTTTGTGACATTGCCTTCTGCCCTCACTAGCACTGTTTGCTCTTCTGCTGACTTCTGTTTCAGCAGATTCTGCTGTTTTTGCTTAAGGCCGTGTGCTAGAACTTTCCATTCCCTTTGGTTTACTCTTCATTCATCTTTTTCTTTGCGTTTTGGGTTTTTTTCACTCTGTATATTTTCAGCATGTTCTTTTTCTTCCTTTAGAATCATAGTAGTCATTAACCACACAGAACTTCAGATGTGCTGCTTTTGTGCCCCAAGTGACTTATTAGTCCTCAAGGGTGTGTGTGTGTGTGTGTGTGTGTGTGTGTGTGTGTGGTGTGTCTTCAGTGAACCAGCTTCCTCCATCTGTGCTGCAGGGCATCTTTTGCTTTTGTTTTTAATCTCAGTAATGGGCTTAACACAGACAGCCTTGGTTTTCTAGCCCAAGAGTCCGTTAGAATATTGATCTTCTTTTTAAATTCTGTAATTTAA